GCGCACTTCCATAGAAAGAAGTTACCTTTCCCTCCCTCTCTCCTTCCCTCTCCCTCTCACTGATTCCCTTGCAGATTTGCAAAATTTAATCCTGTCCATGGTCAGATCTCTTGGGGCTACTTCTTATCTTTGTAGATTTTGTTTTTTATACTTTCGTTATCTGTAGTTTCCTGTGGGCCGGAGGGAATACAACATTGCCATTCACTTCTTTCAATGTTTCCAAATGAGTTTTATTCATTTATTTATTTCATTTATTCTTCTTTTTTTTTGCTGTCATATATTTCTTTTTAACTTATATATTTAGTGCTTTAAATATATTCTTGTGTTATTCGACATAATAATAAATCTTAACCTAAAGAGAAGACTTTTATTTCACTTCATCTTACTTGAAGGACAGGGAAGTCTTTGGAAGGCTATGGAGAGGCGCGCAGAGGATATGGGAGAACAGAGCGCGGGCCAGAGAGAAGGGGTGCAGGAGGGAGGGGCGATGGGACAGCTGTGGCCAGGCCTGAGCAGGACTCCACCGCGGGCTGCTGCTGCTGCTGCTGGGGGCGCCCCGCGGGTGGGCAGCGCACGGCAATGCCGTCCTACCGGCCCCGGTAAGTCGGCATGAACTTTGCATCAAACGCTCTGACATTTGTGGCATTATGTCTACTTTTTATGCCCATTTGTGGCATAATGTCTACTTTTTATGGTCCTAATGATCTTCCTCCTTTCACTTTTATGTTTTCCTCTAAATCTGCCCCCCACATGCTTTTTTTCTTAAATGGAGTCAAGATGAATTTCTAATGCTCATTATTTCCTAGCATAAAATATGTAAACAGCAAACATTTCTGTAGAATAGAGCTTTACTCGAGCGTCACATTTTAAATTTTTTTCTCTGAAATATTTTCTGAATTGGTAAGACTACTCTGATTTTGAATGCAACTTTTCTCTGACATGGGTGAGCTAAGGACTTTGATAAACAGCTTCCTTGTTTATTGCACTGACAGGTGGCCAGCTTGCTCTTGTGAAAATGGGTCAAGAGGCAGCAGCCTACCCTGCTGTGTGTGCGTAGGGCGTGGGTGGTGAGTGGAACAGCCACACCTGCTGGGAACTGTTGGCGCATGCTCATAGCATATGCTCTGTGGTCAGGTGCTTTTAATTACAAGAGGAGCTTTTCCATTACACCTGCAGGTGCAGAGCAAACAAAGATTCAGCGAGACTTTAGATATCGGGATAATATTTCTGGTTGTCACATTTTATTTATCACTTTGTCAGAGTCCCCAGAGTGGACCATCCTCTGGTTCAGCTTCCAAGTAGAAAAACAACATTCAAAAACGAAACCCTGCTTAGTCCTTTTCTCCCTTATATCCAGAACCTGACAAACAGTAAGCATCTGAGCTGTGGGGTTTGAGATTCTCCAGACCCTTCCTACTTCTGAAGTCAGTCCCCCTTCAGTAGCTGTTAGCCCTTTCTTTCCTCCTGACTACGAACTTTCACTGTCATGGAGGTAAGTCCCCCCTTTTCTTTCTTTTTTTTTGCCTGTGTTGGCCACTTGGGAGAACCACAGGGACACTGAATAGGGGGGAGAGGCACCTGGGTATGGATAGCACTGTTTCGCGGTGGAGGGGAGGTAAGAAGCAGCCAGCCTTGGGGGCCTGGGGCATTTAGTCCTGGCAAAGGAGCAGAATGGAGAGCACACACAGATTTCAGAAGCTAACAGTGCAGACAGGCACAGGATGGCCACCTGAGGTGAGACAGGGAGAGTGGTGCCTGCAACTGACCTGCGTGCTTTGCAGTTTTACTGAGCGTTAGCTTAAAAGTACTTCACGGTCCAGTCTGTCATGGGCCAGTCACTGCTGCCCGTCACATTGGTCACTGAGCCTGCATTGTACCAGGAGGTGCTTCTAGGCTGGCAAGGTTTTACTCAAGGGCATTGTCATTTCACGTTTGTAGGAATGCTTGCAATCAAAACCAGGGAAAATGTGTTTCCTTTTGTTTTTTATCAAAAGGCATACAATGCGACTAGTAATCTTAAGATAATGCATTTAAAAATCAATAAAGTTTTCAGTGTATCAAAAAAAGGACATTTTCCTCTCAAGTTAAAAACATACATACACCTGATACTAATCTACATTTACTGTAGGGCCTCGCCTATTTGTAGTTTCAAATGTGGGTTTGTGTTTTTATGGTCAAGCTCTAAAATAATGAAAATAGCCCCCAAATCTTTAAACAGAGGTGCTAAGTTATACCAGGTAACAATGCAGAAAGTGCTGATATGAATATATTAACAATCCAAGAGTTCTGCTAAATTACACGTGTATCACTGCCTGATTAGAAACCCCCTTTCTTTTCTAATCCAGCACAAAAATCAAACTGTGATTCCACAGTCTTTTTAGTGGGTAGAGTGATCCAAGACCTTTGTTTTATATGGAAAACTTTTATTTTTTACACCAACGTCCAAAGTGCTTAACGGTAGAGGTTTATTCAGGATAACTAAGCATTGCACTCCTTCCTTCCCTGACTTGCTGGGAGAGACTTGTCCCAGTAGCCCCCCCTACAGGCAACTTCTGTTAGAAACGGGACCTTCTCCCTAAACAGCAGTTTATAGATTAGCCAGTGTAGGTCTGTGGCAGTGCTTTCCACATGTCATCTTCCAGGGGTGACGTCCCATCCACAGACAGTGGCAGTACTTTGTGGAGAAGTGTCCATAGCAGCGCGGCCTCACTTTTGGTGACCAGGTCATCAGTGTGTGTGTGTCTTAGATTGGCTTCATTTGCAAATTCTGTACTCTCTGCCTCTCTGCACTTCAGGTTCTTATTTTAAAAATAACTGGGTTTTGGCAAGCACCAACTGAAATGTGTATGGCAACTGCTTTCCTGAGCAAGCGTGATTTGTTTTATGGCTGTTCAAGTTATCAAGTTGTTCTTATATTGTAGGTTATCAAAATCTTGTTTTTAAAAGGTTACTGTAACTTGAGGTTCAAATTTCTGGCACAATTTTATTAGTATTCACTTCTGAAGCTAATAAGATACCACGGTTTTCTATGTTACTCTCATTGTAACATCAATAAAGTGACTTTCAATACAAAATCAGTGTTATTTTGATGCATAACTCCCTTTAATCCTTAATTTTTCTCTCAGCCACTGCTTGACTGTCAGCTTTGTGGGACTAACGTTGGGGCTTGCTTTTCTGCCCCACTGTCCGGAAGGGACCATGAGCCGTGTAAGAAACAGAGTGGTCCTGGGGTAAAGGCTGAATGCTCGACTTGTTGGACAATTTCCTCAGCTGGGTGGCCGGCAGGGCCTCCTGCATTTACCCATCTGCTTTGCCTCTTCTGGCGCTTTCTCCGACCCTAACAAGGACCAGGTTCCCACACCGGGACCTAGAGCCCAGGTGGTGCTTAATGAGCTCATCTGTGCTGGACCCGAAAGCCACGGGCCTTGGAAGGCTGTTTGCGTTCATTGGCTAGAAACTGCTCCACCCGGCTGCTTCACGGTCTCCCAGGCAGCCATTCCGCCCACCAGTCTTTGCCCTGGCACTTGCCCTTCCTTCCCTCACCTTTAGCGCTTAGTCTGCTGAAGAAAAAAGTAGGTATACGTGAGAAGAACAGAAGTCATCGAGTGAGGGCTTGTACATTTATTATGAGTAAAAAAAACTCTGGTGATTACACAGAGCTCCCTTGCTTGTACTAATAATGTTTTAGGCATATATAATAGCTCATTGAGGTGAACACTGAAACGAACCCACTCAGCTGAGTGAAAGCCAAGTCTAGTTAGGAGACAGCAGAAGTTTCAGCTCACACGCCACCTCTTGGGCCGACGGCACCCCTGGGACACCATGCGGAGGTGGAGCCTGAGCGCCACTGGCTCAGCGGGAGAGACAGCTGTGACTGCTGTGGGCGGGCCATGCCCATCGTTCCGGGGGAGCGCTAGGGCCCTGGCAGCCACATCCTATGGCAGTGCATGTCCTGAAGCACAAGGCTAGAGCACACACATCTGCAGAATCAAATTAAATCTCGAGTTGGGGTGATCTGTGGAACTTAATTCTCTGGATAATGTAAGTACTGAGGTTTGACATCACAGCTGTACCATGCTTTAAGAAAAACAGACCAAGAAATGGGTGTAAAGAAGTGGGTGAGGTTGCACTGGAAGTCTGTAGTAAATGAAAACAGAACCTGACATCAGACAGAAATAAGGCAACACGAGATTCACTTGTAATGAAGACTCTGAATAATTAAAGGAAGGACGTACACATCAAATCTGTCGACGGGAGGGAAACTCTCTAACCACTCTAAGCCTGGAGCTGAAGACTAGGCTCCAGGCTTTTGGAAAGAAACAGTGAAAGGAGAAGTGGAGGAGGTGAGACTTGTTACAAGGTACCGGTAGTTAAAACTGAATTGAGTATTTCCAGAGACACGGTTTTCTAATACTTCGGCACTTAACCAAAAGCAAGTTCAGAACCATGGTTGAAGCAGCACACCTCGGGACTTACCAAAGCAGATATGGCCCACAGCCCTGGGTCAGCGAGGGTCTTCTTCTCTACACGATAGTCATCCAGAAAATGACCCTTCCCTTCAGCTGTGACTTCCTCAGAGGAGCCTGTGAGCTCGAAGCACAGAGCAGGCACTGGGACTGAGGGTGTCCCTGCCCCCTGGTCCTCTGGGTCGGTCCTCCTGGGCCCTCTTCTGGAAAGCCAAGCTTTATGGCCTCAGACATCACTGTCTGGAGTGAACCTACACTCAACCCGCATACACAGGGTAGGGCAAAAGCATGCTTACGGTTGTGCATATGGAAAATACAGTAATAAATATATAATACCAGAATAAACTCCTCCACGTACTCACGACCGGAAGCCTATTTTTGCCCCACCCTGTAAAAGCAGTCTGCACTCCACTGTAATGTATAGCCAGGTAAGACTGTGTGACATAAATACTAAGTCAGGGTTACATAAATATGTATAAAATGAATATATACTTCTTAGCGGTATTTGAAAAAAAATAACCAGTGACATGTGGCTAAAGATGCTTAGAAATGTTTTTATTTCCATTGGTTGACCTCAGAATGGCAGCTGTCACGCCGTGCCCTGAAGTCAGACAGGTATTCTGCTGCTGGCAGGGGGGGAGACAGACCAATTTCATTGTTTTATCTGTTAAGCTCTCTTGCAAAAACGGCAAATCACGCCAGCTTTAAATGTAAAAAACAGAAACATTACTGGTGTTTATTATATCAACACATTTTTCATTTTCACATTTACCCCAGGACGTTAAGAGTTATCTCCTCTGACATAATCAAACCACGTATCATCAGAGGTGCAGTCAGCATTAGAATCCAGATTTTACTTAAGAGCTCATGGTTTACAATTTTTCTATAAAGCCTTCCAGTATAAATGTGATACCTGCTTATCAGAGAACCTTCTGAAAGTAGCAGGAAGAAAACAAACTCAGGACCTGCCTCCCAGGGGCAGGCAGTCTCGCCCACGTCTGGGTGTGCTCTTTCCAGACCTCCTGCCGTACTGGTTAACGTGTGAACACACGGCATATCAAAACGGAAAGCATCAGTATTTAAAAAAAATTAACATCTGATTTTAAAGAGAGAACACACATTATACAAAGTCCAGAGAATACTAAAACGCATAAAGAAAACTGAATCACCTAGAATTCTATTAGTCAAAAAAAATCATAGTTAATCAAAATTTTCATATAGTCCCTTAGTCTTTTTCTCTTAACTTTACATAGTTAAGCACGTAAGGTACAAGGTTTTAAGTGTGGTTAACAAAGGTCTATGTGGATGATGACAAGATCTTGGTGACAGTGTTTGTCACTCAGACTATTCAATAGGTTTTCAAAAGGCAGAAAATAGTCACTCATGGTCCTGTCCACTACGGCCATCAAAACATGTGGAAGCCTTAAAGCCTGCGCCACATTTCCAGGAAGGCGAACCCTGGCCTGGATTACCATGGTGCTTTCTGCATCCAACAGGTCTAAAGCATTTTACATGATAAGAATACTCCACACACCAAGCTTCCAATACCATGCACAGTTCTTCTAGGAGAGGAATGATGACGGCTGCGGTCTGATGAGAAGGCTTTAGTATCCTACAGTGGAAAATATGTAACACGCCTTCAACACTTTGCATACTTAAAATTACATAAAACAGGCTTAGCAAGAAAATAAAGCATAGGACAGTGGCTCTAAGAAATTCTAAATGGTTTAACAGAACGGATCTGATCTTAATAAAATTCCAGACTTTATTATCTAAACTGAAAACAAAACCACAGAGGTACATTAAGCAATACACCTTCACAGCAACTGTAAGGACAAGTGGCCAGGCAAGTTCCCGTGTGTTCCTGCAGGTACGCAGCGGGAGCGAGCCAGAACTCCCCGGGAATGTGGGCTCCGCGTCCGCAGCTTCCTCTCAGTTTAAATGCTCATGACACACTGAATGAACTGAAAGACAGGAGCGTCAGCGTTACGCCGCAGATCTCAGCACATCCTGCATTATTTTTAGGCAGCTTACATGTTCGTGCTCTAATTTGAAGTATGGATTTCAAAAAATCCTTGATAAAAGAGGGGTAAATGCCATATGGAAAGGTTCGTTTTGGGTTCCTCACATCAAAGCTTCCAGGGAGCAGCAGATCTGACTCCAATGGATGAAGAATTGTTTAAATTCCAAATAATATTGAAGACTCTAGAAATGGGCGTGATCAAAGGAACCTACTCACACACAGAAATAACAGCTGAGTTCATATTTATGTCATATGGAGGCTGCCACACTACTCAGGATTACTTCATTACTCTAATGAAGCTCCTTTGAACAATCAATTCCTTTACAGTGTACTTACTAATTCAAGCACAGCACGCAAGTGTGTGTGTGCATAGGAACACAGTATCTGACCCTGCTGCAATTCAGACACCCAGTTGAGAAGGGTCAGTATGTGCTGTGAAATATTTCCTTGCTTCACCACTAAACGCATGGCAATAGGCTGCTTTTTCTTATCGATTCTTTTTCACTATTCTAGCACCAGGGAGGACTTGCTAACCTTCGCAGCCTTCCTGCAAGACCAGGCCCATCTGTCCCAGCTTCACGGAAGAGGAAACTAAGGGTCAAGATGTTTAGGTTTCTCTTCAGTGGCCCCGTCTGAGGCCAAAGCCTGTGCACTTTCCACTCCACAGGCTGATTCTACATCTTTGGAAACAGTGATGAAACTGTCACCTGAGAAGCTGCACACTAACGACATCTTGAGGCGGGAAAAGTAAACATATTTACACTAAACCTTTTAAAAGTGTACTCATAACTTCAGCAGCTGCTAAGCTGAATACACGTGCATCTTTGTATTTTGTAATGGAGAAACATTTAGTATATTCAATTACCACTGTGATTCTATTCTAAAATTTTTTTTAAAAAAGCAATGGCTTTAAAGCAAAAATTAGGGAAACAAGTAAACAACCCGCAGCCTTGTTAGGCATATCCAGCAAATGCCATTGAAGACAGCCCTTGGTTATGTTCACACTGTGACATGGCCTTGGCCTGACTCATTCAGCGTGGCTGTTCAGTAAATGCACTGTTTTAAGTTGTGACTTAGGTTTGCATCTGATGTCCCCAGTGAAGGATACAAGTGTGTCAAACCCAGTTTTGAGCTGTTGAAGTCATTGCTCAGTGACCAGGAAGAATGCAAAAACAGATAAAACATGCGCATGATGTTTTCCAAGGCCACTTCTGACTAAAGTCTCACAATAGCCCAGTGCAGAGGGTACTGTTGCTACTTTCTCTTCCCTCAAACAGTCTTGGAGCAATACGGAAACCTGCCCATGTGACCAGCCGATGAGCAGGATGATCTGGGCTTTGACTCGGATCTTTTAATGCAGAGCAAACAGTGGTCTGTGTATGGGTACGATGAGTGACAAATGAAATTAATACATTTTTAATGGTAACCCCTGATCAGTTAAGCCTGCACTCCTCTGGCATCTTGAAGATGCTCTGACAGTTAACTTTAAAAGGGATGCCCATCTGGTGTATATCTTACTCATCTACTCAGTTCTGAATTTACTGAGACTTACATCATCATATGGGAAATTCACAACACCTTGCTGACCAGAATCCCGTCGTCGAAAGTTGTCTGTAAAACACGACAATAAAATGTATTGTTTTTTTACATCTTATATGAACTCACGATAGTTAATTGTTTTGGCTTTGGGTTCACAATGCAGTAATGTTTAAATTGTATAACCAGCCAACATAACCAAAACACCAAGGCAAAGAAGCCAACTCTATGAAAATGAATAGAAATAATACATGATGTGAAGAAACTGGCTACTTGTCTTTTTCAGTGTAGAACTGGAAGAAAATACTGTACCCAAAGTCGGTAAAACCTGTGCAACTTCTGCGGTCATTACTTAATTTTTAAAAAATATTTATTTATTTTTAGAGAGAGGGGATGAGAAGGAGAGAGTGGGAGAGAAACATCAATGTGTGGTTGCCTCTCACATGTCCCCAAATGGGGACCTGGCCTGCAACCCAGGCATGTGCCCTGAGTGGGAATCGAACCTGTGGCCCTTTGCTTCACAGGCCCGTGCTCAATCCACTGAGCTACACCAGCCAGGGCCCATTACTTAATTTTGACAAAAGCACAGCATCTCCAACTTCTTCATATCACATTAGGAAACAGTGGGTGGAGTCCCTGCTATGAAAAATGGGCTGTGATAAAGTGTTCCACTCATCTGAGCCCTGCCCTGTTGGAAAGGATTTTCTTTAATAAAAAATCTGCCCACTAACTTTTGTTAGGATGAGTAAAAACTATAAAACCCGGTATTAAAAAAGAGTAAAAAGAGAGGAATGGAACAGGAAAAGATATGCAAAGGAAAGACTAGAGGGAATAGAAAAGTACAGCAATTACTGACATCTCATCATTTAAGAAATACACCTGTAACAGATGACCACTATTTTAAATTACTTTCTGTCAGGGAGAAATCACAGAATAGTGTTCATACTCTGATCAAAAATCAGTTTGTTATGTTTTGGAACATTTTAGTAAAATGTAGTTAGGATTTTTTAATGGCAGATTATGTACAAATCTCAAATTTCTGTAAAACAAACAAACAAAAAAAACCAACCTATCCTGCTAGATAAGTTCAATAGTGATGTTAATAAAAAAACACTTGAGTTAGGGGGAAAAAGACTAGAACAAGGAAAGTTCAGAAGCACTGAGAAGTAAAATGTCATGAAAATGTGTGTCTCCCTGGCCAGCAGTGACACCCCCCCCCCAAGAACACACCGACCTGTGAGCGCGCGCAGCTTGACGCAGCAGGAGATGTAGTCATCGAAGGTGATCTTCCCGTTGGTGCTGTATCGTTTTGCAATTGAATTCACGGCCTGGGGGCTCAACCGAAATCCTGAAAGGAAGAAAAATCATCCAGCCAAAAGTGTTAAAGGGTCACAGAAAGATCATTAGAAATAATCAAGCACCATTTTTTAAGGCTGGTAGTACTCCTCTGAATTATAAACACACAATACTTCTGAAGCATACAGAAACTGCCTTCAGGTAGCACTTAGGTTTTAGAAATAAAAAAAAACAAAAACAAAAACAAAAAACCCCCCACTGCTCCTCCCCATACGCACCCATTGCAGTCAGCGCCTTCTGCAGCTCTTGAGGGTCTATTGTCCCACTCCTGTCACTGTCGAAACTGCTGAAGTGTTGCCTCCAGCCATTCAGGACAGACCAGAGTTCCTTAAACTCACTGAAACCCATTGTGCCTGACAGGTCTCTCTGCACTGTCATTAAGGATGGCAGCATTCTGGGGGAGCAACATTGCCTAACGATTTAATCAAAGATTGAGGGTAAGGAAATTTAATGTTCTTGTTGCTAAAGAGGTTACACACGTCACACGTTCTTGTTGGTATGATATAATAAAAAGACACACTAATGACAGACTGAACAGGGCACATGGAGAGAAAGCTCTGAGAACATCTTTTCATTGTGGGGGGAAAAAACTAATCTTTGTAATGTGATTACAAGGAAATGACATGAGCCTCCGGTAGAAAGCACCCTTGTCACTGGGGCTGTAACCCACCTTGTGGGTGCCCCAGGCTAGGCTGCTCACTCCCGTCCTGAGGTGCTCTTGGCCCTCACACTCTCTCAGCAAGCCCTCCCGGACCCAGGCCTGTCACTTTAGGGAAGGAGGTGAGATGGAGGGCACTGTGGGGTCAGCACTCACTAGACTGAGTCCAACTGCTGCGCCGTGAAATCCCCCTGCTCGAAGGTCAGGGGTGAGCACATGGATCGACCGCTGTTACAGCAAACGCTTCCCTGACCACTCGAGTTCCACGCTGTTCTCCCTGGACGCTTCCTTCAATTCCTGAACAACCAAATTCTACTTACTGAGCTTCCTTCCTTTCTCCAAATTCTATCTTAAAAGCTAATGGGTTGTCATTGCGTTTACCAGGTATTAATTCTTAGGTGAATTCCTGTAGGGAGGATTTTTTTTTTTGACAAGAAAAAATACTGAAAGCTGCAATCAAGGTAAAGGATACATCCAGCATTGAAACCATAAGCCGACAAGTCTCCAGGTTAAAAGCTGTTAAATCAAGAAAAGTACATACACACACATCAATACAATTTTAAAAATTCACATTACATTAGATACCTTCAAATTAATTAGGAGTATGATTTATGCACTTTCATTTTTATATGCTACTCAACTTACATGGAACTAAATTATATGGAACTTTGAAGGAGATATTTTACATTTTGGATTTTTTCTATGACCCAAATTTGATTTTAACAACTTTGTGAGAATCTTTTACAAAAGGCATTGCATAGTACTGTCACAATATGTTTAGGTGTTATTATGGTTTTGAAGTTGGGGGGAAAGCTGTCTTTGTCTTTTAGAAAAGCACACACTGCAGTTATTTGTGGGCAACATGATGGCTAAGAAATCTGGGATTTGCTTTCCCCCAAAAGGGGGAACTGCAATGATGAAGGAAGAACGGCAACACGATGTGGTGGTTGACGCTGAGCGATGGTCACAAAGAAGTTCCCTGTGCCATTATCCGTGTTCTTGGATAGGCTTAAGGTTTTCTGTCCTACTGTCTTTTAAAAATACTATCATCTACTTTCTTACCTTTGAAACTGTAACAGAGTGAGTTCAATTCACCATAGTGAACACCCACCATGGTGAGTAGGATGGTAGGGGTGCTTTGTTGCTACTCCTAATTAACTATAGATTGCTGGTTTGCTAGTTGTCTAATCATATTTTTCTTGCTTTTCCCTTTAATATCAGGCACTGAACAGTAACCTCCTGCCTCAATTAGCCTGACCTCTTTTCATGCACAATAAGCTCCTATAGGAAACTAGTTAAACACACTTGCTAGAACTGTGTGTTAGGTAGGAGTAACTCTGGAGTAAGATGCAATGTGGTAACTTAGAGGCTCGTTCCTAGTAAGAAAACACCTCATGGAAGCAGCAGCATTTAAGCCAAATGTTGAATGACAGAAAGATGGGGGGCACTGGGTGACAGCCAAATAGAGCAGGGCCCAACATAAGCCAAGAGAAGCGGGAAAGTCAGGGCAGACACAGGAAGTGGCAGGAAGCAGGTGCCTTTCCAGAAGGCTGCATCAGAGGATCTTGAATTCCTGATAAACCGTTTAGCTTTTATTTTATGGGCATCATGGAGCCACTCAAGATTTTCAGAGGAGGAGAGTGAGAAGTTAGAGCTATGTTTCAGGGACATGAGAAATCTGGTTGCGCGAGCGCGTGCGCGTGTGTGTGTATTTAAAAGGGAGGGAATGCAATTGGCAGTAAAGGAAAGTGACCGAACAGAAAGTTCACCATTCCGAACAGTCGTAGGGGCTAGAATGCTGATGTCTACTAAGTGTGGGTGAGGAAACTCTTGCTTTATGTAACTTGTATTTCCCCCAGAAAAACCTTTTATTAATGCTAACCCTATTTTAAATAATTTCAAAATAATCTTTACTATAATTTTACCATTACTCTCTTCTTCCAATTCATTTCACTAGAATGCCCCAAACACCTTCCCTTCCAGTAGAAACTCACAAGGTCACAGACCGACCAGGAACGCCCTCTCCCCAGTTGTTTCTCTCAAGGGCACCAGGGGTGCAACTACACTTGAGGGGAGAAGAGAAGCTGAGTTAATGTCTCATAGACTAGAGAACTGTCCTCATCAGCTCCCCCTCCGATGTGGCTGCTTCCTTGTACACAGGTTAGGAGGTGTCTGTCGGTACTGCACTGGGGCACAGCCCCACGCCCTGTCTGTGCTATTTTAGTTTGGAAGCTGGGTGTGAAAGACCCACAACAGTCCGTTCTGTACTGTAGCCCAACACCCAGTCCGACGCCTCTCAAGCAGGCGGTTCTGCGGTTCAGCACGGCCTCCACCACCAGATGACGTGAACAAATGAACTCAGCCACATGGCCCCGATGACCAGGAAATGTGTTCTCCATGCTCAATGGTCTACGGCCATCGTGACGTGTGGCTTTGTCAACAGAAATTTTTTAAAGGACTACTCTCCAAGGATATACAGGCCACTTTGTTAGTCAGATTTTAAAACCTTCTACATGTCTACTGAGAGAGTGCAGAATGATACACATTGTGACACAGCTCACTCTCCTGACCCCTGTCATTAGACCTCTGTGCACTAGATCCAACTGCTTGAGTTAACAGTTAACAGCTTAAATGTACTGCCTACAACAAAAAAATCCCCTAATCCAGAAAGTGCCACTTTCGTTTAGGACCATATCAAATGACAGAATGCAAGAGGTTCCTCTTTTGTACTAATTCCCCCCAAAGAGAATTATTAATAGGGTGAAGTTACATAACACAAAGGATAAAAACAGAAATGCAAAGACTCTTAAAAAAGAGCCATCTTGTGAACGTGCCATGTTAAACAGTCAAAAAATGACACTATAAATCCTCAGGGGTGAATTTTTCAGCATTTTAATTCACAGTCTACCAGGAGGACCTTCGATTTGATGTTCTGCCTCAATTAACAACTGGCAAAGAAGTGGGCAGCTAAAGGCGTCAGTCAAGACACTACTGTCTACCCTGGTATCTGTCATGGTCAAGATCTGGTTTGAGAAGAGGCAGCAGGTCTGCGCATGTGGGGCAATGAGACGCCCCAGCCAGGAGGCAGCATGTTGCAGCAGAGCGCAAAGGCAGGAAGTGGTGTAAGCACTGCACTGCAGGGCAGCAGCTCCAGGCTGAGGAGCTGGGGGGGAGGGGAACGGAGGACTAGCGGAGAGAGTCTGCAAATCAGGAGGGAAGGTCCTACTCGGCCCGAACGCTTTCTCTGAGGTGGAAGGGGGAAAGAAAGAGGGAAGACCCAGGAATGTCATGGCCAGCATTCAAGGTGCCAGTGGGACACTCAGAGATCAGCTGGCACAACGGGCTCCTTGAGGGCTGGGGTGGACGAGCCCTCAGAACCAGGACCAGCCGTCATGAGTGTAGGCAGGCCACTTGGGGACCAAGTGCCCAAGACCAGCCTCCCACAGCCCTTGGGGCCACCAGGCTCAGGACAAAGTAAGCTCTTAGCAAAGAGCAGTAAATGTCAGCTGTTGGGGGCAGGCCTGACACACTCGGTGACCTAAAGTAACCACGCAGGATGGCCTGAGTGACCATAAATACCTAACTGGGCAGGTCAAGGTGAGTAGTCATGCCCCAGGCATGTATCTGCCTTAGCAAAGGTCAGTCATTACCTTACATGAGCCCTGTCCACTGTTAAGCACCTAGGGTGACTCGGGAACCACGGCAGGAGCCCACAGAAGCCCTCGCTGTTCGCTGGTTCCCAAAGGACCCGCTCTGTGCGCTGCCAGTGTTAGTTATTAACGATCCTGTGCCCACCAATGTACGGTTATGTGCTTTTCTACTCTGTCTTTTATCCAATCCCCTACTTTGCTTTCTCAGGCCTCTTCAATCTACCACTGATGGATTTCATGTACCTTCCTTACGTTTTGTTCCCTTGATTCAAAACACCTAAGAGGAAATGAAAAACTGCTATTCTCTGGAGCTTTTTCTCAGCCCCTTGAGATTTTGCTTCTGGCAAGTCCTCAAAATTTTGTCTTGAATAAACTCTTATAAAACTTTTCTACAGGCTGGACATTCTCCTGTCATTAAAGACACCTGATCTGGCATACTTCACTTCAGCACCTTAACTCATCCTCCATGAAGGCACCAGCCATGTAAGCTGTTCCTACTTCGAATGGTTCCAGATACCCAATGGAATCCAAATAAGAAACCCATTCAACTGGCAGGTACTGTGGAATGACTTCTTAAGAACTGATTTCAAATTCGAATTTTGAAGTGAACCAACTGTAGCTTTTGAAATTCTACATGCTGAAGGCTGTGATGGGGGGGGGGCAGCTAGGATGTGAAATGCAAGTGTGCTTCTAGAGCAACCTTGAGGCCATGAACTTACGTTTGTACCCTCCAGCAATGCCGGACTGCGTCAGGCACCTCTGCAACTCGTCCGCGTCTATTTGTCCATCCTTTTGAAAACAAACATAGAAAGAGGAATCACAAAATCACAATTGTAATTTAATCCTTCTAGCTCTCTGTTTACTTTCAGTATTCAATGGGGCAATAATAACCAAGAAAATGAGTATTATTATGCATGAAACTTTAAAGGAATGCATTTCAACAATAGGCATTCTTTTCTTCATCCTACTTCCAAAAATAATTCCATGATAAAAGAAAGACAAATTGTTACATCCCCTTCCACAAATGCATAATTAGGGCCACAAAATGCATTTCTTAATATCAAAGTGGGCATTCAATTTCAGACTCTATTTTAAATAATTATTACACAAGAATTAACAAAGTCAGAAAGCTGCTTACACCTGTACTTTAGTATTATCAATATCTTTTCATCATCTCCTTTAAATTCCTGAAGCAGATTTGGCATAAACATTGCTAAGTATAAGGTTCTTCTCTTAATAAAACACTAAGGTGCATTCAGTTTCTTCCATGGATACTTGATATGTTTTAATGAATGAATAAAACTAGTTTCTGTCTTGAACTACTCTTCTCTGACTCTGAGCAAGGAAATGCCACAGTTAGGCATTTTAAAATAAAATAGTTCATGCAGTTGCTTCAAATTGTATCCCTCTTTCTAGCTTTTCGGGAGGAGAAAGCAGGGCACACAGCTGACATCAGTAAATAAGAAGCTTGGTTCAGAGGGAAACCTTGGTGATCACCATTGCTTACGATATGGTAACCAGTTTCTTCAGGTCAAAATTTACGCACATATGGATGATACAGATTCCCATTTATTGCCTGGCTGAGGTCAGAACTAAATATATGTTATTTTTAGGGACTTAAAAATAAAATACCAAATTTCTCAAGTCCATAAGTGTTGTAAGTTCTGAATGAAGAGCAGGGTCAATAATTGGAAAGATGATGGATAGGCTGATCCAGGCCAGGGCTGCTGAAAGCTAAGCAGGTGGGGTCACTTACAGGCTGGAGGCACAGGCCATCTAAGAATGTGAGTCTTGAGCTTTGCTGTGTCTTGTGGTTTCAAAGATACGGATCATTAACAGATTAAGCAGATACTTAAAGGGAAGCCCTCTCAGTTTTAGACTCAATTTTCCACTCAGTTTTCTCAAACTGTACTTCTTTGAGTGCTATTCTAAAAGGTGGTCTCAGGTTTTGACCCCATACAGTCTATGGCATTTCCACGTGTAGGTTGTGTTATTTCTAACTTTTGATGCAAACAGAGCTAAACTGAATTCATATGGGCAGACATCCCCTCTGGGCACACCGGGGTTACACCAACAGCATAGTGAGCAGATACAGCAACCTCCTGGGCTAAGGAAGTGTCCTTCCCCGATGCACACCCCCAAAAGTCAGAATTTAAAGAAGTGAAGGATCTTGGGGTGCAGACCCTAATCATCTCTGTGGGTCAACAGGCCACAACCCCTACTGAGGACACAGAAGAGCTGACTGAGTAACAGCATCTCTATCAAAAGAGAAGCTTCGCAAGATTAACTTCCTGATAGTAAGAAGAGAGCAGTAACTTACTTATTTTGAAGCTGGTGGCTTTTTACCATAAAAATCTATTTCCTAAGGGGGCGAGAGATTAACAAATTCGACCCAAAGAAAGTGTCCCTTCGGATTTGGCAACAGAATTACTAGCACAGGCGTTTAAGTTGCACAAACGGTTCCCACCACATCTCCCACCACATTGGCAATTCCTGCTCTGGAAACCACCCTTGACCCTGACAATCCAGTTCTAAAGACATCTTTCTACCTCACAGATCTTCCAAGGGTATTAACAATCCCCTACTGTGTTCCGTCCACCCCTAAATCAATCACAAGTTCAGTTCTGAACTGAACTAACATAACACCAGTAAAACTCTGTCCTCATCTGTTCTGGATATTAAAAAAAAGTAAGTGACAATAAATTTCCTTTCTCTGTCTCTTTCTTTTGGAGAAGGGATTCATTTCCAGAGGAAAGGTCGTTTTCCTGGCCACCATAACAAAGACTAATACAAATGTAGAATGTGATGACTCTTTAATATTCAAAGGAAAAGCTAACCTGTCCAGCCACTGCAGCAAAGTAACCATACAGCGGGTCCTGAGTTTGTCCAGGGAATGTAGGTCCTCCGGGAGCCCCTCCATACTGCAAGACAGAAAACACAAATTCGGTTCCATTCTGCTGAACCAAGTTTTGTTCTTTCACCACTGCGAGTCTTTGTGCAAAGCGAAGGCATTTACCGACCCACCACCAGGCACACTCTAACTGCGGTCACTCTGCCCCTTTCTCACGCCCCTTAATTTAAAAACGAGAGACTTGGACCAAAATGAACTGTCTTGACGGTGACATCTGCGTTAACTGAAGCACCTACGTAAACCCTGTTAACTTTCAGGTTACTGAGATAAATGGAAGCCAGGCAAGCAGTTAAACCAAGCTTAAATCCTCCTACAGCGTTTCACGGGAGTTTCAAAGGGTTTGGGGGCAGGTGTTGCCAGGGAGGAGAAAGGTGTGTCTGGGTCGGCCTACAGGCCGCGAGAGAACACCCAGTCCGGGAAACAGTTCCCAAGACAACGCGCATCCCGGAGGCTGGGCTAGGGGACCTCCCTCCCGGAAGACTTTTACTCTGGCGGCCTTTCCCTGACCTCTTTTTCCCACTTTCTTTTAAAGGGTGAAGTAGCTCTCTGGACCATTTTTGATTGAAGTTGTTGTTGCTCTTAGAAAAAAAACACAGAAGGAGGAAGAGGGAGCCAACACCCAATTTGCACAATTTCAAGCCAGGTATCCGAGACTCACTGGGTGGGCTTCTGGGGTCGCAAGGCACCCGTGGGGAGCCAGAGGGGACAGAGAGAAGGAGGGAGCCAGAGAAAGAGGCCGAAAGATCCGGGGCGAGGCAGCCGGCAGGGAGAAGGCAGAAGCGGGAGGCGCGCGCGGAGCCGCCCCAGCAAAGGCACCAAAGGTGTTGTCTGGGCGTCCCCGGTGTCTGCGGGTCGCGTCTGGGCCGCGAGCCCCCGCGGGCAGCACTTACCCCACCTGGGTAGTACCCGCCGCCGGCGCCGGGGTGCCCGGGGAACGCCATGGTGCAGACTGCGCTGGCGCCGCCCTGCGCGCCCCACCTCTCCGCCCTCGCACGGGGGCGCCCGGGTCGCACCAAGCGGCCGGCGGGGGACGAGCCCTGGAGCCGCCGCCCGCGCGGGTTTCCGCGGCCCCCTCGGCCCCCCGCCGGCCTCCAGCCCCGTCTTTATGTTTCACGGGCCCAGGTCGTGCATCCTGCAAGGTCCGGTAAGTGACTTAAGACCTGCGAATTAGTTCACACCTAGGATTTTCCTCCCTTCGGAACGAATGGTACACTCCAACATTTATACACGGCCCAGGGAATTTTTTTTTTTCTTCCTATTTGACTGTTTTTCGGACTTTTTTTTTACTTTAAACAACTTTATTGGGCGAAGCTGACCGGCTGTGAACGGAGTGCAGTATTGCCGAAGGGACCGAATACCTTAGGGCCGCTCTTAGGTGCCTGTGAGGCAAGGAGGCGTCGGTGAAAGATCAAAATATGAAAACGCCCTCGGAAAACAGGAATAAAGTTCAGGAACTGTGTGCAAGAGAGTGTTTGGGGTGCGGTTGCACATTTTTCTGAACAACAACGGCCTGGTTCCTCGCTAGGGGACACTGTCATCTCGGGGCTAAGCTGGGCATAGCAGGATGCAGCCTTGGGGGGACAGAGGGCACGTGCGGGGCAGGACAGCCTGGCCCAGATGGTGCTCAGAAAAGGAATTTGAATTAGCATCTGGATGAATCAGGCAAAATAAACCCTAGCTCCAAAATGACTCAGCTACTGTTTATAACAGAAGTTTAGAGCAAGTGAAGAGTGTGCTGGTACATATGCAGGAAGGTTAAAGATTGGAATTTCGTTCAGGTGATTCCGAAAAGGGTTTTCCTTACTTCACATGCTTCTTTTTTATCCAGTTGAACAGTCCGAAGCCATTCAGACGTGAGAGTCTCTGGTTTTGATTCGCGTAATTTCAACCTCGCAGCATGGTGGGGTTTTTTTAATTTTAACGTTTTTAAAATGCATTAATAAGCAAGGTTCACAATATTTGCTGTGAGGTTGCACAGAAAAAAATGAAAGTCACAGGGTCATTGCTTTCCTCTTATGTATAGCTCCCCTCCAGTCCTCTTTTTGGACACCCCAACTGCAAAAGTGAAAGGCCTGTGTTAGGAGAAAAGAGTTCTAATAGTCCCTGTTGTTTCATATCAAATAAACTATATATTACTTGTTTTGTGCTTGATTCAGAAAGGAGATTATGGTTTCCAAATACTATAGCAATCATAGAGGTGGATGAGACATTTTATGAGTTCTGTGGCCTCCGTGGGTTTTTTCCACTTTTTTTGTTTGTTTGTAGTAAGAACACTTAACATGATATCTACTCTCAACAAAAATTTAAGTGTACAGTATTGTTAATTGTACGCACAGTGTTGTACAAAAAGTTTCTTTTGAAACTTTTTATCTTTTTTTTAGTTCTGTTTCCATAGAGACTGCCAGAAATTGCCATTGTCCAGGATATTTCAAGTAGTCACAGTGGACACTGGGAAAAATAATTGTGCTGGTGATAAACCTCATTGGCTACAATACTGCCACCACGGAGCTAGAACCTTTTTATCTTATGCCTATTGAACAGCTCCTCATTGTTCCATACTCACTGAACAATTTCCTTCTCATTTCAGCCCCTTTCTACTTTGTTTCTGTAAGTTTGACTATTTTAGATACCTTATATAATTGTAATCATGCAGTATTTGTTTTTTTTATAATTGGCTTATTTCACTTAGCATAACGTCCTTGAGGTTTATCCATGTTGTACCATATGGCAGGATTTTCTTTTTTAAAAGAAAAAAAAGATTCATTGTGGGATTGTGGGAACATATGGTAGTTTTATTTTCAGTTTTTGAGGAACCTCTGTATTGTATTCCATAATGGCTACAGCATTCGCCATTCCCACCAGCAATCCGAAAGTATTCCAATTTCTCCACACACTTGCCAACACTTCCTGTCTATTTTTTGATAATAACCATTGTCACAGGTTTTAGGTGATACCTCACTGTGGATTTGATCTGCATTTCCTTGATAATTAGTGCCTTTGATTCCTTTTTTATCTATCTGTTGGCCCTTTGGAAGTTTTCTTTGGAGAAATGTCTATTTAAGTTCCTAGCCCAATTTTTTTAGTTTTATCTTTTTAGGTTTTTTACTCACTTATTTTTAGAGAGGAAGGGAAGGAGAAAGAGAGGGAGAGAAACATCAATGTGTGGCCGCCTCTTGCACATCCCCTGCTGGGGACCTGCCTACCACCCAGGCATGTGCCTTGACTGGGAATCCAGCCTGTGACCCTTTGGTTTGCAGGCCTGGGCTCAGTGCACTGAGCTATACCAGCCATGGCCCTTAGCCTGTTTTTAATTCAAGTTATTAGTTTTGTTTCTGTTGAGTTGTGGGTGTTCCTTATGTATTTTGGAGGCTAACTCCTAACTGGATATATGGTTTGCAGACATTTTCTCCCATCCCACGCGTTGCCTTTTCATGCTGCTGCTTCCTTGGTGTGCAGAGCGTTTGGACTTGCTGCCGTCCCACTGGTTCGTTTTTGCTGCCTGTGCTTTAGATAGCACGGCATGAAGCCACTGCCAAGACCGATGTCATGAAGCTTTTCCCTGTTTCCTTCTGGGAGTTTTGCAGTTTCAGGCCTTACATTTAAGTTTTTAATTCCTTTTGAGCTGGTTTTGGTGGATGATGTAAGATAAGGATGCAATTTCATCCTTTTGCATGGGGATATCCAGTTTTCCCAGCACCATTTGTTGAAGAGAGCTTCCTTTTTCCACTGTGTATTTTTTGCTCTCTTGTTGAAGATTGGTTGATTGTATATGTGTGAATTTATTCCTGTGCTCTTTATTCTGTTCTTTGGCCTCCAATTTGCTCTCTGTTTCTTCTGAAAGAGGTAACTAGAAATAGTTATGAGGAACGGATGGTGAGGACTAAACTCAAAGTTGAGCGTTAGGTCTTTGAAGGCTCAAGTTTGGAAGAAGTAGCTAGCATGTAAGTACTCTTACGTGGAATTAGCTTTGCGGATAAGCAACTATGCTACTTGTCATTTCAACTGATCTTAGACTTCTTCCTACTGCCCCACTGCTAAAATAATTTATTTACTGGAGTGCTGCAAATGAAATTTTTACAGTTATCGCTGGCAAATTGACAAGCTGTTGCTGCTGCTTTAGTTTATGAAAAAAAAAGGTAGCAACTAATAATAACAACACATAGATAGTACTTAATATGTACCAGACCCTCTTCTAAGCACTTTACATATTTGCTTAGTTCTCATAAAGTCCCATGAGGTAGGTAGATGCTATTATCATCTTCAGTTGAAGAGGTGGGAGCTGAGAGAAGTTGCCTCAGTGGAAACAACACAGCTGAACGATGCTGCCAGGGGCTGGAGTCTGTGTTCAACACCAGGCGGGGCAGGTGTAGAGGCCCAGATAGTAAATACATTGCTTTGCGGGCCTTCCAGCCTCTGCAGCAGCTACTGAATTCAGCCACTGTAGCACGCAAGCTTCCATAGGTAACACACAAATGAATGGGTGTGGCTGTATCCCAACACAACTTTGTATATGGACATTGAAATTTGAATTTAATACAAGAATGGCACGATATGGAGTTCGATGCTTTTCCCCGGAACTATCAATAATAACCTTAAACGTAAATGGATTAAATTCTCCAATCAAAAGACACAGAATAGCTCAATGGATAAGAAAGCATGACCCACACATATGCTGCCTACAAGAGACTCACCTCAGGACAAAAGACCATCACAGACTAAAAGTGAAAGGCTGAAACAAGTTTTCCAAGCAAACGGACAAGAAAAAAAGCTGGGGTAGCAATTCTCATATCAGACAAAATAGACTTCAAAAAAAGGCTGTAAAGAGAGACCCAGAAGGTCATTTCATTATACTCAAGGGAAGAATCCACCAAGAAGACATTAACATTGTAAACATATATGCACCAAACATAGGGGCACCCAAATATATCAAGAAAATCTTAGAGGACTTCAAGAAAGATATTGACAGCAACACAATCATAGTAGGGGATTTGAACACCCCACTATCAAAAATGGACAGATCTTCCAAACAAATTATCAAAAAAGATACTGTGGCATTAAACAACACCCTAGAAGAAATGGACTTAACTGATATATATAGAGCCCTTCATCCCAAAGAAGCTAAATACACATTCTTTTCAAATGTACATGGAACATTCTCAAAGATAGACCACATGATAGGACACAAAAGGAGCCTCAACAAATTCAAGAAAATTGAAATCATACCAAGCATCTTCTCTGACCACAAGGCACTGAAATTAGAAACCAACCCCAAAGAAAAAAACCCAAAGCACCCAAAAACATGGAGACTGAATGGTATGCTATTAAACAATGAATGGGTCAAGAATGAAATTAGGGAAGAAATCAAAACATTTCTGGAAACAAATGAAAATGATCGCACAACAACCCAAAACTTATGGGACACAGCGAAGGCAGTCCTGAGAGGGAAGTTTATAGCAATACAGGCCTACCTAAAGAATATAGAAACATCTCAAACAAACAACCTAACCCTACGCCTGCAAGAACTTGAGGAACAACAACAAAGACAGCCCAGAGCAAGCAGAAGGAAGGAAATAACCAAGATTAGAGCAGAACTAAATGACATAGAAACTAAAAGCACAATTTTAAGGATCAATGAATCCAGGAGTTGGTTCTTTGAGAAGATAAACAAAATAGACAAGCCTTTAAGTAGGCTCATCAAGAAAAGAAGAGAGAGGACACAAATAAACACAATCAGAAATGAAAAAGGAGAGATTACAACTGATACCACAGAAATAGAAGAGATTGTAAGAAATTACTATGAAGAACTGTATGCCAAGAAATTTGAAAACCTAGGGGAAATGGACACATTTCTAGAAAAATACAATCTTCCAAAACTCAGTGAAAAAGAAGCAGAAAATCTAAATTCACCAATAACAGCAAAAGAAATTGAAGCAGTAATCAAAAAACTCCCAGCACACAAAAGCCCCGGACCAGAT